CTTTTTTAGGGAGTTGTTGGAGAATTTGGGATGTTATCAGGTCAAAACCAGGAGCTTTGCGGTTCGGTAAACGAGACAGGATATACTTGACGTGACGGCTTTCGGAGGGAGTGACATAGGAAGGGGAGATATAAGGTATTCGTCAATATCTGCTACCATTGAAGCATTGCCGGGCTCAGAATGAGGAGTGAAGGTTTCTTGGAGATATAATAGAAATGAAAAAGGTAATTAAAAATATTTTATAAAAGAAAAATTGTCGTGGTACCAGGACAGTTGTTTCAGGTCAAATAAAATTTACTACAGCAATAGTAAATACAACAAACACCTTTTTTTTATATTTTTTTGTTGAAAAAATAAGAATGAACAAAATATAAATATTCGTTTTTTTAAATTAAAATTAAATAAAACAAGTAGGTATCGATCCTTTCTATAATAAAAAATAAACAATGCTGAATAAGCCCTTTTGTAAAAAATTAAGAAAACAAAAAAATAAACGTTATGCCCGCAATAACTAAGAAATCAATTAACAAACGGACAAAAAAAAATGAAAATGTTCTGCGGACACGAGATTACCCCTTGCAGCTCGTTGAACAGTTTCCAGGCAAATAAATAATCGTCGAACTCCTGTCCACTCCGACGTGTAGAAAGATCTCCCTCCGTGAAAATAGGCCGCCGAGTTCAGATGATGTCAAATTGTGGTCCCCGGGGAAAAAAAGCAAGAGCGAAGACAACAAAAAAGCCACCTTTTCTGCTCGCCACGCGTTGCTCGTCTGCCGGGAGCCGCTGCGCATCCGGCGAATTCTCGCGCACTCCCGCTCAACTTTTGAAGGTGGTTATAAAGGTTTCTTGGAGATGTCGAGAAAATGTATCGGCTTTTTCTTGGTCAGATTCGGCCAATGATCCATCGTGTCGACGGAAGGGAAAAGATGGGACGTGGTTTTTAGGATTCTTCTCGTGGCTGTCCAGTGATTTATTAGAGGTCGTAGATAGGTACGAGTCAAAAGCTTTTCCTACATTTAAAATATTCTACATTAAGATCACAGATTAAAAACAAACCCTCTTCGACGAGAGGACAAAGGCTGCGGGAAACGTCCCCGACAAAATGATGGCGACACCTCGTTTACTCTCCCCTGGTTAACAGCCACTAGGGCGACGTTCTCATTTCCCTCCTTTGCTCTAAATTTTTGTATTCGTTTAGGAGGCCTGCATAGACTGAAATGGAGCCCAACGTAGCGGTTTGTAGATTACAAGTTTTTTCTCTGTGTTGACCTCTTCTGACTGAAAAACTTCATGTTTCCAGCAGGTCGATAACCCAGCTCATCGTTACCTTTATACGTCTGTTACTGCACGATTGTACTCGGAGGACCACCCATTTTGTTCGACAGGGGGAAAAAATAGCTTGGGATAGAATAGCAAACCAATAAAAATTAATAAAACAAAAGAAACCTTACGCGGACAATCTGCTTTCCTAAAGTATTTGTTTTTGTGGGTAGGAAAGCAAAGGAAGCGAAAAAAGTGAGCATTTTTCAAGGTGGTTAAAATTCAAAAAACAAACGAGGTTTGGGTTTAAAAAAAATTCCTTTGAAAAGACAGAGTAAGACTGATTTAAAACTTAAATATGACGAGGTAGGGATTTGGCCGCGGATTATCTCTCAGGCGGTGTTTATATACAGATGTGGGATTAAAATAATTTTTTTCTTTCTCAAAATAAAACCAAACGGTTATAACTAAATAAATAAATATTTTCTATCCCTCGGCTACTGTCCTAAATTGTTCAGTCTGTATCCACCCCTGAATACATTATCTGCTTGTTAACACATACCTTCTTCTCTGTTATCTTCTTATTTTTTTTATTTTTTCTGGAATTTTCCCTACTGCTGGTTGGGCATATTCTCTTTCCAATGCAGTTTAAACAGTAGAATAATGTACAGTACATATTATGTTAAATATTATTTAAAGAGAATATAAATTGGCAAATCATAGCCCATTTAAATAATTGCAAAATGCTAACAGACACACAAATAAAACAGTCTAATAAGACCTTAGGGGCGTCGGTGGCCGCAACGGTTAGGCGTTGCCACGGCGCTCATCACAGTACGGTAAAGGTCCCGGGTTCGAATCCTGCGGCCCGCACTTACAAATGGGCTTTTTTTCAAAAACACTGGCACCCCGAGGGTTGATATAACCTCTGCTGTTGCGAACCCTCGTAAAAAAACCTTTATAACATTGTTTATATGTTCAAAATATTAGAAACATCTGAGATTACGAATCTCCGAAAATACATATTTCATATTTTTTAGCTGTTTCTTCCTTTCACGAAAGACCCTTCTGTAATTTTCTGAAAAAATATTTTCTAATAATGCAAATAATAAACTGGCACATGCACATTTGATTTCTGCTCCATATTGCGTTTTTCAGCTGTGTAAGTAGTGTAAGTATCTCGGTAATTTCTGATAGCAATATTATGAGGCTGTAGTGAGAAAGTACCTGAAATGTTTTAGTGAAATTATGATGTTGAATATGTTTTCTTAATCAATTCGACATAGAACTGAATAATTTAATAAAATACACGCTTAACTCAATATTTATTGTGATTTTTATTTAGGATAATGTAAAAATAAATATTATAAAATCTAAAAACATGTTTTTTCTTTGACTTTCCTTTTGCCTTATATTTTAATACCAATACTACTAAATACAGTTTTAGTACCAACCAATTATTGACGCTGACAAGAGAGATAAGGAAGTGAGATTATCGATTTTAACGAGTATTTTTTTATGGTACTAGTTTGAAAAATATGAAGACACTTAGAGAATTTAGAAAAGAAATGAATATGTAATTTAAATGTTTTCTTAAGGTTGATGGAAACCATGTATTACGTGAAAGTTTAATTTATTTAGAGATGAATTTCATCCTATATAAAGACCATCTTTAGTATTTATTTATTAATAAATCTCACCAAGCCTAGAATTTCGAGATATGAGATATTTTGAAATATTCAAATATGGATTTCTGTTTTTATTCTGCATATATTTATTTTAAAGTATATGTATCAGTCGTTTTTTTAACGTTTGATGAGAAAATAATGTTAAGGTTTAAGTTTTTTAAAACCCTTCCTTCAAATTGAGTACCATAAATAAATTCCACTTTTATTCACAAATGAGCAAGTCTCGACGTTACGAAAACACGGAGTCAAATTGGAATTTTCACTTAACGTCTTTTTGGCTACTGTCTTTGTTCAGCTTGACAGATTCTTTGTGGTACGAAATGATGTAGGAACGATTGATGCAAGTCTTCTGACCCTTGAGCAGCTGCCTGTTAGCTGGAAGGGCCGAGTCTTCACCCGTCCCTGAAAAATAAACAAGGTTTTAGAAATAAAATTCGAAATTACAATTTAAAAAAATTATCAAATGCTTCTGTCACAAGAGGATTGAAGTTCTGGCAATAGCCGCAGGCAACTAGGCTAAAATATGTAACCGTGCAAAAAGTTTCTACGTTTTACCTCTATGTTTTAGTTAATTTTCATTCTTTCCGGGTGGCGCTAATTAGATCTACGTCCATTTATTCCATATTGGAGAATTTCGCATTAATGGCATTTGAGATACTGCCTAAAACAGAAATAGATCATGATATTTCTCAAATTCGCTTTTGCCTCAAGAAAGCAGACCTAGGACATATCCAGATACAAATTTTAAATACAGTCTAGTTTGCTTGAGTGTGCCAAAATATGCTATTTTAATTTTTTATGGCCCGTTCCTTTGTCTACCAATAAGTCATAACCAAATAAAGTTTTGAGTTGTTTATGTTGGACTACTAGGCCGTCAAGTTAAACCTCTCATTAAAGGTCAGGCTAGCCAACACGCTAGTCTCCTACTATCCTTAAAAAATTTTCAAAGATAAGAATCATCAAGGGATAAAAATTTTAAATACAGTCTAGTTTGCTTGAGTGTGCCAAAATATGATATTTTAATTTTTTATGGCCCGTTCCTTTGTCTACCAATAAGTCAAAACCAAATAAAGTTTTGAGTTGTTTATGTTGGACTACTAGGCCGTCAAGTTAAACCTCTCATTAAAGGTCAGACTAGCCAACACGCTAGTCTCCTACTATCCTCAAAAAATTTTCAAACATAAGAATCATCAAGGGTTCATGTTTACACTCCGAAGAAAACCTCTTCTCACAATCTTTCACTACCATTTTCTTCAACATAGACTGAGCCTTCCTGACCCTGGCATGTCCAATGTCCCCCTTCGGGGCATAGAGGCAATGAAAAGGTTAACATGTTGGCCAAAAAGGGAGCCAACATGGACTCTCTGGGCCCAGAACCCTACTGCGGATACATCTTAAAATGGATCCTTAATGAGTCCAACACCTGGTGGAGCAGTACAGGTATGAGACACGCGAAATATAAGACTATTTTTACTATTCATAGAAGAACCATGCGCAAAACTTACAAAAGAATGGAAGGCAACCACAACCGGACCAGGATTCTCGTTGGACTCCTGACAGGGCACTGCCATAATATGAAAGCACATGCACCGGATAGGAGTACAGTCAGAAGAAACCCTGTCCAGATACTGCGAAGGTATGTACTGTGAAGGTCTGTGTAGGTGCAGGTTCTTGCAACTAGGACAAGAAAAACCACAAGTAAGATCCTACACCAAGGAACCGCTGGCAAAGCTGTGGTGACTGTTTGTAGCCTCAAGCTGGCCAGTGAGTTATAATTAACAGAGGATCACAATAGATCTATTTAGGTCGAGGTGCAGTAGGCCTTGAGGCCGCCTCTCAGTCCTATCCCTAGACTGAGCCTTAAACGTAGAATTAGACGGTCTATCTATATCGTCAATTTGCAAAGAGGTTTATATTTTAAACGGTACATTTCAAAGGCAATTTTGAATTTTCTGAGTCATACACCATAGTAATATACCGCCATTTGGCCAAATAAAAAAGATCATCCACCTGTAGAGCAATTTGTATTTTACAGCCAGCAGTATACAGCAATTGTCATAAGGGACCGATTTATAGTTAATAAAAAGAACTGCACATGTCCCAACTACATCCGTCTTTGCATCCTATTCCGATGATTCAGCGGTACTAATCCTCTGACCTCGATTTTACAGCTGCTTCGGAAATTCTGCAGACATAACTCAAGCAAAGCTTGACTAGTGTAGGCAATGTAAAATTAAGATAAATTTACACTCCAAAGGTACTAAGAACACCTAAGCCTACCAATTTTCGATTGTTTCCAATTCTTTCCAAGACTTCAGATCGATAAATGATCTGATGATTATTGTAAAGGTCATTGTCTTCCATACTACCGTCCACAACGACCTTAAAATCACCCAATAGTTTCGACTAAGCCTTGTCCACATTCCAATAGATACCTATAACTTTAAGTCATATCAAGAAATAATGAAGCCACTACTTTCAGTCTGAAGAATTATCAGCATCAAGTCAAGCGAAGAATAATCACAAGGCCATTGATTATTTGATCAATTGAACGTTACAAGTACGTAAGTAAGTACCTATGCACACTCAATTCTCAGTTTTGCAGATTGTAATTTTAAAGTATCTGAACTAATTGCTTAGATTGGCATATAGTCTGTTGTCCTTTTTTTGATATTTTTAAATGTGGCGAGAAAAGTCATGCCTAATTCTGTTCTTCAAATTTAAAAGTAACATTTCCTAAAATACTAAAGCCTTATTTCAGGTCAAATCACGTTTTTATTCTTCAACAACCGAAGAATACATTTCAGGGAATGCCGTCTTTCATGCATTACTTTTTTACTATTGTTCACAGCAAATTCACATAGTTACATTCTCGTATAGTTTAGTATCACGACAGTCGGCTTGTGACAGAGCTAGCTGACATAGTCTTGTACCACCTGATCTGGAGTACGAATGGCTGCATCTCTTGATCGGAGGTGGCGTCTCGCCGCCGTCGGCCTGCAGAGGGTCGTCGCACAATCCAAGTCTGCAGTCCCACTCGCAAATCGCCATCCTGAAGTAATCCCTGAACCTGAAATACGTAAGATTTACAGTAAATCGTCAGCAGACTCGACAAAGCCAACCCAAAACAAAAAGTGGGACATGGCACAAAAAAGGTTGGGAAACTATGATCTACATGGTTATATTTATTTATTTTATCAAAGAATACAGCACGAATAACATCCTTATCCATGCGAATGCACCAATGGCCTTTACTAGAACCATGTTGGAAGTCAAGGTGAATGTTGTTTGTCTCCACGACTCAGAACTCCTAATCATTTCAAAGGTTTTTAAGGGCAATGAAGACAAGCTGTAGGGGGCTTTTCTCTGGTTCAAACCTGTTCTAATCTGAGCGCAAATAACAAGGACCCCTTTTTTATTCGATCATTCGCCCCCTCACTAATTGGCTTTCCCGAATTAGAACTTTTGAATCTGGAAAGATAATTACTAAATAAAAGATTCTCTCCAATGCTGTAATGCCTTTTTTAAGGGAATTTAATTTAAAAAAATCTCGGTTTTCTCAATAAGAAATTAATTATTTTGGGGGGACAAGAGGACTCCTCCAAAAGCCGATAATGCTCATTATTTACTTTAGACTTTCTTCCTCTTATTACTTGTACTTCTTTCTTGTTCCGTATTTATTTAATAATTTGACCACGTTTATTTCTCACGAGAGTTATAATGTCTAGTGTAATTTTCTTCGTTTCTGAACGTGAACGAAAATAACTTCATCCTTTTTGACGTGTCAGTAATTGGTGAACCGTTGGAAAAATTGTGTTCAGTACGACTTCGAGGATTCAGGGATTATTGACTATTTGTCATGATCACTTATTTTTCACGAGTTCCGATATATTTCTTCTAACATTATGGGAAAAATACTTTTACCAGATTAATCCTCATAATCTTCTTTTCGCATGTCCAAGACTGGGGAAAATTTTTTCCCCGGTTACATTTTAAACAAGATGAACGTGAACTGTTTTTAGCGTTCTTTTCGATTTTTTTTCTCAATTTATACTTTGTAATTTCACGCCTAAAGACCGTATAGCATGTATAAGAACAAATAAAGACTTCTCATCCATCATGGTTATTGGAGAATCTCACTGCTTCACGATCCAAATCATTTTAGTTTTAGCCGTACTAAAGTTTAAATATGTTGTTTCTGTTTCGCATTCCATCAATTACCAGTTCTATAAATTTGAAAGTTCTACTTCTACATTGATCATGTGTCAATATTATTGTCTTGTCTACTTCCTTGTATGGCTGATAGGCAAGAAAGTGGACAAAACTTATGATTTATAACAGTTCAGTCACCTAATAAGGTGGTTACGCCTTGATGAGTTTTGTTACCGCCTGTATTGACGAACTTTTAGCATGGTCTTATTCTATCACGATATCTTCATTATCTATCTTCCATGGATTTATTGGCCTGATACATTTAGGCATAATCTTCATTCATTGCTATTCTATCCATAATTTTAAATCCACCAATGAAAATGATGGAACGTCTGACAGGCCAAGACATTAGCCAAAAAATTGGGCTTTTTCTCACTGACAGGGCAGTTTTGTTGAAATCTTTTCTCACAAAGAAAGAAAAACTCACTCCACCATTTATCATTTCTATTAACAGTAGTTTGATTTTTGTCTTTTTTTGTATTGACTGATTGTGAGTCATTGTTTTGGGACCTTTTCCCCGTAACTCAAAGGTTTCGTTGTGGTCAGTTTACACTAAATGAGAAATTTTCTTTAGTCTTTATCGGTAGTGACGTTTCGTTATTTTTTTCCCTAACTCAGTCGTTTCGTGGTGGTCTATTTCACTGACGGAAAAATTTGTTTAGGCTTTTTCTCGCAAACTGGGTAATTTCGTTGGAGTTTCCCATCCCTACACGAGAACTGAGGTCATTTCTCACAAACTGACAAGTTCTTTCTCATTTACTGAGAGGTTTCCTTGTGGACTATTTCATTAATTGAGAATTTTCGTTGAAGTATATTTAACGTTGTGGTCTCTTTCACCAACTGGGATTTTGTGGGATTTTTGTCACTAACTAAGTCGTTTCGTTAAGATCTCTTCTTACAAATTGAGAAGTTTGGTTGAGGTCTTTTCGTACTAACTGAGAAGTTTTGTGGGGTTTGGTCTCAACAACTGCGTCATTTTGTTAAGATTTCATCTTACTAAATGAGAAGTTTGGTTGACGTTTTTTCGTACTAACTGAGAAGTTTTGTTAAGGTGTTTTCGTACTTACTGAGAAGTTTCGTTGAGGTCATTTCGTACTAACTGAGAAATTTTGTGGGGTTTGGTCTCAACAACTGCGTCATTTTGTTAAGATTTCTTCTTACTAAATGAGAAGTTTGGTTGACGTCTTGTCGTACTAACTGAGAAGTTTCGTTAAAGTGTTTTCGTACTAACTGAGAAGTTTCGTTGAGGTCTTTTCGTACTATCTGAGAAGTTTGGTTGAGGTCTTTTCGTACTAACAGAAGTTTCGTTGGGGTCTTTTCGTACTAAGTGAGAAGTTTCGTTGAGGCCTTTTCATATGAAATGAGAAGTTTTGCTGGGGTTTGGTCTCACATACTGCGTCATTTTGTTAAGATCTCTTGTCACTAAATGAAAAATTTCGTTGAGGTTTTTTTCCACTGAGATGTTTTGTTGAGGTTTTTTAATAATGAAGGAGATGTTGCGTTGAGGTATTTTTTTCACTAATCGAGAGTTTTTTTTTAGATCTTTATAATTAACTAAGACGTCTCGTATCGATGGGGGTTTTCTTACTAACTGAAAATTTTCGTCGAAGCCTTTCACACTGTCATTTCTTTAAGGTCTTTTCTCACTGCCCGAGAAGCGTTCTTCTTCTTCTTCAGCCTAATAAAGTTTTAGTCCTTCCCGATTATCTTAGACCTAGATGGATTTGTCGGTCAGATGCGTTTTGGTATTTGGCCAATAAAAATATATAAAACAATAAAACTACAATCTACACTGATGATTTCTTGCCAAATAGCCAGGTGAACAGGAAGACCAATCTTCAAATCGAATAAGATTTTGATGTAAAAATCTACTTTGTAATCAATTAATTATTCTTTTTATGTAAGGTCTTGGTTGAAATGAAAAAGTTAGGGCCACGAGCGGGATTCAAACCCACGACTTTCGGCTCAAATCAATAATTCCTACTCACAATTATGTTCGGAGTTCGAGTGAGAAAATAAAACAAATTTTACAATTATTATACTTGTATTGGCCTTACCTCTGATTCATGCAATAGTAGATGAGTGGATTGAGCATGGCGTTGGCCATGGCCAGCCAGTAGAAGCCGAGGTACACGTGTTGGATGTACTTTGAGTAGACGAGGTCCCGCCTGTGATGTACATAGATGAAGTACGAGTGGTACGGGAGCCAGCACAGTCCAAAGACGAGCACGATCAGAATAAACATTCTCACCACCTTAAAGATAAATGTCATAAGAAGCTAGCATAAATAACTCCATTACCATTTTAACTATTTATTTATGGTGAATAAAAAGCATTAAAAGTAAAGTTCAAACTCGGCCGTTTTTCTACCTAACCAACATCGAATATTATTCGGGTATTAAGAGAGTTCTAATTAAATAATGTCGTTGTTTGGAATGTTTTTTACTCAAGAGATACGATCTGTGAAAACCAACTCTCATTAAATACCAGTATCAAATTTCTTAAATTTATTAAGAAATTCCAAATAATTATTCTTTTTATCTAAGGTTTTTCATCTCAATCAAAAGCCTTAGGTAAAAAGAATAATTATTTCTAATAATTAATATGGTCGATTATGACCACTAAACAAATTTGGATTTGTTAAGAAAAGTTAAAAAGCTTAATACATGGACCCTGCAATAAAAAATTGCCATATCTTGGGGGCATTGTAAAATTGGACAAAACAAAGATCACATGTTGAAATGACGTCAATCTGGTCAGGTAGAACTCACATGCTAAAACTGATCATCGTCCGAAAGTATAAATGGTCAGCTTCGTCTGTGGTGTTCAATTTTCTATTACAGTGAAGGAGGTAACAAAGCAACCCTATCCAACGAAATGTTTTAAAATTTGATCCAAAAACAGCACAAGTAAAGAGGAGAAGCCATTTCCTGTTGCATGGCAACGACCCACCTCATGTTTCAACGCAGATTGTTAAAAAAAAAGGTGATTCAATATGAAATCCTACCACATCCCTCATTATTATCCCGATTTGCTCCCTTAAGACTTTTTCAGAACTTTCGGAAATATTGGCAAATTAATCTGAAATTAAAAGAACGCATTTCCTGGTGTTCCATCCATTCAGCTATTAAAAACATTTATAGTAGTCGGCAAATATTTATAGGAAAAGGTGTATTTGATTTGTCTGTGGCCGCGCTTTTTCTCGCTAACTGAGGAGTTTCGTTGAGGCCAATTCTCACTGAGATGTTTTATTGAGGTCTTTCTTACTAACGGAAATGTTTTATTGAGGTCGTTTCTCACAAACTGAGAAATTTTGTTGAAGCTTTTTGAGTTTTCTTAATGGCTGAGACGTTTCGTTGAGGTATTTTCTCACTAATTGAGAAGTTTCGTTGAGGTTTTTCTCATTAACTAAGATGTTTCGTCGAGGTCTCTTCTCACTGAGCTGTTTTGTTGAGGTATTTTCGTACTAACGGAAAAGATAAATTTTAATAGGGTTCTTTTCTCAGTAACTGAGATTTTTTTTACTAATTGAGACGTTTGTTGAGATATTTTCTTACTAACGGAAAGGAGAAGTTTTATTAAGGTCTTTTTCTCAATAACTAAGAATTTTTTTGTACTAATTGAGACTTTTGTTGAGGCCTTTCCTCAATACCTGAGATGTTACGTTGAGGTTTTTTTTTAACTGACTGAGAAGTTTCATTGAGGTCTCTTCTCACTAACTGAAAAACTTTGTTGAAACTTTTCGAGGCTTTTTTACTAACTGAGACGTTTCGTTGAGGTATTTTCTTCCTAATTGAGAAGTTACGTTGAGGTTTTTCTCACTAACTGAAATGTTTCTTCGAGGTTTTTCTCTTCTCACTGAGGTTTTTTGTTAAAGTATTTTCCTACTAACGGAAAAGAGAAGTTTTAATAAGGTCCTTTTCTCAGTAAGTTGGATTTTTTTTTTGAAAACTAATTTGGACGTTTGTTGAGGTATTTTCTTATTAACGGAAAGGAGAAGTTTTATTAAGATCTTTTTCTTACTAACTGACTTTTTTTTACTAATTGAGACTTTTGTTGAGGCCTTTTCTCACTAACTGAGATGTTACGTTGAGGTTTTTTTTTTACTTTATTATTATTATTATTTTTTTTTAACTGACATACGTTTCATTGAGGTCTCTTCTCACTAACTGAGAAATTTTGTTGAAACTTTTTGAGGTTTTTTTACTAACTGAGACATTTAGTTGAGGTATATTCTCACTAATTGAGAAGTTTCGTTGAGGTTTTTGCTGACTATCTGAAATGTTTCGTCAAGGTCTCTTCTCACTGAGCTTTTTTATTGAGGTGTTTTCTTACTAACGGAAGAGAGAAGTTTTGTTAAGGTCCTTTCCTCACTAACTGAGGATTTTTTTTTGCTAACAGAGTTTTATTGAAGCCTTTTCTCACTATCTCATGTTACGTTGAAGTTTTTTTTTTGCTGATAAAAGTTTCATTGAGGACTCTCTCACTAACTGAGACGTTTCGTTGAGGGTTTTTTCTGAGAAAATTCCTAGAGGTCTTTTCCTTCTAAGAAGTTTCGTTGAGGTCTTTTGTCACTAACTGAGAAGTTTCGTTGGGGTTGTTTTCTCCACTATCTTAGAAGTTTCGTTGATGTCTTTTATCACTAACAGGAATGTTTTGTAGAGGTTTTTCCATTAACTGAAGAGTTTTGCTGAGGTCTTTTGTCACTTAAATAAATTTCGGTGTGGTCTTTTTCAGTAAATAAAAAGTTTTAGTGTTTTGTCCAACTAACCGAGAAATTTCGTTCAGTTTTTTTCACTATCAAAAAAATTTTGTTGAGGTTTTTTCACTAACAAGTTTTGTTGGGATTTAGTTTCAATGAGTCATTTGATAACATCTCTTCTCACTAACTGAAAAATTTCGTTGAGTTTTTTCCACTGAGATGTTTCCTTGAGGTTTTTCTCAAATAAGAAGTTTCTTTGCGGTTGTTTTTTTCACTAACTGTGAAGTTTACTTTGTTAACAAATAATTATATATGATACTTTTTAAACTAAAACGTTCGTTTACTTCCGTATATTTTTGTGAACCTGTGCACCTGTTATTTTCTATTTCTTCTAATCCTTTGCTTTTTATGCTGTTCATTTATAACATTTGTAGCACGATAATGGGCCACTTTCTTGAAGCTAAAAATAAGCCTAACCTTTTTTTGAAATCATCACAGATCAATAATAACAACTGCGCTGGTGATATTAAAAGGTGAATCAGAAAATAATCTATACTTAACGATTAATTAGCGAAAAGCAAAACAACTTCTTAGAAATATTTAAGTAACCAAAATGTTGACGAAAATATATTTGTAATAAGGTAAAAGCTTTTTTTAATTCAATGAGTAAACATTTATTTTTATACGGTGGTCCAATCTTACTTTTCTTTTGGATCTGATGGAATCTATCTGCCTTTGAGTGAGCTCCCCGATCGTCTTGGACCCCCAGAGCTCCCTGCCCATCGTCGTGTAACAGCAGATCATCGCAGCGATGGGTATCAGGTACGTGACCAGGAAAAAAATCAAGTTATATCTGAAAAAACGATAGCATCATTAATAGTCAAATATGACCTCGACCATGGTTAATGTTTTATATACAAAATTATCGACAAGAGTGAAGAAAATGCCCGTCGGTAGTATTCCAATTATGGTAAAATGTTGTCTGTTTAATTATTGCTTCTGTCATTATCACTTGAGATCTCTCGAGGCCATCGTCTCTTCATCGAGGAAGGTTCGAGGGAATTCGTCGGGATGCGAGTTTTTGGATGTGCTGTTTACGGTGTTTGGAAAGGTTTCGACAATGAGATTTCATCTCGGAAGATGGGAATATTTAAGTCTGAATGTGTAGATATTTAAAATTATGTGTGCTCAAGGATTTTTTGTAAAATGAAGGATTGGGCAGTTTTGATCCGATCGATGTTTGATATTCGGCTGAACCCCCCACGTTTCCAGTCCGTAAGTCTACCTGTGCTTAAATATTGCTTTGTAAAGCAGCCTTTTACTTTTGAGAGGTAAGGCAGAGCGTTTGTGGTATGTACCATAATGAAGGTACTCGGGCGGGTGGGTCATCCCCCTGTTCAGTTTCAAATGAGAAACTGGGTGTTCCTCACATGTACATAATGTATAAGTGTGTTATGTATCTTAACATTCACTTATATAAAATAAGGCGGTGGTATCAGAGAAGATAATATTCTTTTCTTTGGGGTAGTCTCTTTTTTTTTTATTGGCTTCGTTTGATATTGAATGCCGGTCTACACGTTTCCTTTATTTCGGGGGTTAAAAACGGATTCGTCCAACCGTTTTAGAATTAACTAGAAATGCCAGTAAACAAACGATTACTTGTAAAAAAAAGATATTTCACTTTTTTTAAAAAATTGTTTATACAAAATTAACACATCTAAAAAAATAATTTACATTCATTAAATTTCGTTGTCCGATTGACCAAATAACAACTTTCAATTAATTAATATTTATGTAAGGTATGGGTTGAGATAAAAAAGTCAGTGTCACGAGCGGGATTCGAACCCACGAATTTCGGCTAAATAATCGGCGACTTCGATCCATTCGGACATCAACCTCCAACCTCAACCCAACCTTTAGAATTTGCCCTCCTTTTTGCTGCCATTTTTCAAATGTCGTGTAATCTATTTGATTCTCGGCGACAATTGAAATGACCACGGAGAGGTGTCCGGGTGGATCGAAGTCACGATAGCTCAAGTTGTAGAGCAGCAGCGTATTTAGCCGAAGATCGTGGGTTCGAATCCCTCTCATGGCACTAACTTTTTCATCTCACCAATCATCGCGTCCTCTACGCCTATATGCTGCAGTCCGATCCGCCGTATCCCGTGAGACCGGGTGTAAAACGGTGGTCATACGCAAGTTTCGTGCAAAGGTCACAGGTAGAAGACAGCCTCTTCTCTAAGTTTCCGCCAGAGGCGTCATACAGGCCACTACGAATCCATTCCCAGTTAACAGGGGCTGAATATTGGAACATTTCTGTTACCCCGTAGTTCTGATGGTTATGCATCCTCCCCGTCTGTGCAGACAGGATCTTGTATCCTAACCTTCGTGTCCCTCTGATAAGGCACCCGCCGCCCATGCCGACCCGAGGCTGACACGAGTTCAGCTTGTGCTTTAGAGAGGTTGCCACGCCCTCTGAGATACATCTTTATTTTGCGCCCGGACACTCCCCTTGTCACAGGATAGAGAAGGAACCTGGATTGAGAAAGGGACGTGGATGAGGACTCGAGGTGGACGTTTCGGGGTCTCGAGCCTCAACCACACTACACCACCCGTCGTCGCTGAGGTTCTACGTTGAGTGGGCCACAACTCCCTGGGTGGGTTTTTGTCCTGTGATATCCCAAATCTTCGAAAGACTATTTTTAAAACGTTTGATCCCATTCCTAAAGTCAGATAAAACCTTTCTGGCCAATTTGGCTTCCGCCGCCATCACCCGATTTTCCACTTTTCACTTTTACATACCCGCATTTTTGTCTTAAATGACGGTGGCCTGGAGATGTCGCCCTTTAATCCATCATGTCGAGTGCCAGTGTTGACCGGTCTTTTAACATCCAGAGATGGTGATGGCCATACCGGTTCTGACCCGACTAAAAAACCATATACGAACCAAATCGTTTTGAACCTTTCAAAAGACTGTGTAAGACATCAAACTAAGTACCTGTATTTCATTCATTCATTTCTTCTATTTATTACAATTAAAAAGTATTCTTCCCAACACCCCTATCCCATCGAGAAGTCCTTCCTCTAGGAACCCTTGTTAAAGGTGAGATTTTGCTCTGAACTTTCAGTCATCATGGTGTCAAGAGGGGTATCTATACCAATCCTCCACATGGTCTACACCGCTGAGATAGCCATACACCCCATTCCACATCACGACCTTCGAGGGCGACACCGCAATCATCTCCTCCCATCCTGACCCTACCCTTGCAGCAAATACCTAGACCATATTACCGACCGGTGCACTCCGTGGCGCATCAAGCTAAATGAACCAAAAAGCCAGCACGTGGAGTTCACACATAAAAGAAGTATCCGCATACCAGTGCACATACACAGTTTGCACATGAATTTTTATAGCAAACAACAAGTATACGATTTTTGGCTGTATTCACTGATGTCATTTTTCCACTCTCCGGTGTTCCTTCGTTAAAATTTCATAACTCCTCTTGACTTTTATTAATACTGTGCTGTTACTATTGATTTTTTTATCCTAAGGCTATTAGTGAGAGTAGTAAATCTCTAACACGCAATTATTTGTCATTTAAAAGATTAAACGTACCTTTTGGAATGTCGTTTCAATACAGAAGAATTGAAATATGAAATATTTAAAATATTAATAAAAAAATAATACTTGCATATAGTCTAATGTTGAAACGCCCGAATATCCATCCGGCCACTGGAGTATGCAGGCGGTTAGTCCGCTGGCTCTACAGATAAAACCAACACGAAAAAAACGTTTATTTTTTTATTTTTTTATCAACGAGTCATGATGAATTATCGAACATGGAGATGACGAAAGATCACAAACTTGTGGGTTATCGTTGTCGAATAGACGAGGCAAGGGGAGCCGATGAGGAAGCTCAACGCCCAAATGCCACCGATGATCAGCTGCGCCGACGCTTTGGACATCCGCGGCTTCAGCGGTTTTATTATGGCCAAATGCCTGGAAAAAAAATTTAAAATATGATGAAAAATCGTGCACTAAGTGAAAAAACGTAGATAATTTACACACGACATATCTGAAACAATTTCATTTATTTAAACAACAAATAGATCAAGTTCGATATCAATTTTAATTTAAAAAACAGTAAAAGCGTGTTAACTAGAAAACGGGTTCTTCTGAGAAAATCATACTACAGTTTAGGCGATGTGACGTGCACAGGATGCCATCATCAAATATTTCGGACTGATCCTTGATAAATGTACCTTTATACCTCATATCAAAGACCGTGTTAACAATGTCAACAAGATTTGGTAAGGTCTTTGTCTTTGCTTCGGCATAGGTTACCTTCGTCAATTTGCAGTTTCGCTATCGGATTCATGATTTGTAAGACTATTTGGTCTAGTTTATCCTCGAGGGTAACAAAAGGAGATTGTCTCGGTTGCTTAAAATGTCCTGGGTTAAAGGAATCCAGTAATTGGAACAGAGCCCTGACAAGAGGAATGTTCTAAGTCTCCTTGAAGAAGTCAACAGCGTCTTCTTCATTGAGTGTGGATGGGAAAGTCGTAATATTGGCATCCGAGAATCTGGAGATATTACAATTTTGATTAAGTAGGCAAGTGCAGTTATAATAGTATAAGCAAAAATAGGCTCAGTGGTACTTTCCAAGTGCAAAACCCTATGAAAAAGCGCTGTACTTTCTCCACTCCATCGTACACTCGCTTCAAATTTAACACCCATACCATAAAACGTAAGTATTTTGTTCTCACTGGTACAACATTCTTCACATTAAGACCAAAACATATTTATTGTAATAACTTAGGAGAGACTAGGTGTGAATATAACTCCTAAGTATATCTATATATCTAATCACTATATCCATTTTCGAGACCAAGATTTTTGATTTATTCAGATTAACAAACAGCCCTACCTGGACACTTACCTGCAGTATTCAGGAAGAGTGGCGGATTAAAGAGTTCTGGAAAATGGTACGTCTAGGGTCAAGAATATAAATAAATTACAATTTTATTTATAAATTTTATAATAATTAACGATTAATTATAATTTCAATTAAAATGCGTGTGCAGCAAGATTAGACCTTAATAGCACCTGGGGGATACTGATCAACCAGGTTGTCATTCCAATCAAATTTTGGGTCCATACCTTGCAATGGGCGCCAAGTATGTAGATTTTAACAATATTTTTCAATGTCAAATGTAAAGTATATGTTACAATATATATCGATTAGGTTTCGTGGTCCGATTGACCAAATAGGATGAGATAAAAAAAGTTACTGTCACGAGCCGGATTCGAACCTTTGGCTAAATGCGCCGCTGCTCTACCACTTGAGTTATCGTGACTTCGATCCACTCGGACACCAACTTCCTATCTCAACCCAACCTTTTGAATTCTCCCTTCTTTTTGCCATTTTTCAAATGTGTAATCTATTTGATTCTCGGCGACAAATGAAATGGCCACGGAGAGCTTTTAGTGAAGATATACTTCATTTTTCTTATTAAATCCATTAGATTTCGTGGACAGATTGACCAAATAACTTTTGTCAATTAATTAATTTTTATGTAAGGTATTGGTAAAAGTAATTTTTTTTATTGTTGCTACGTCGTCAGAAATCTAGCAAAAGTGACGATTTTTTAAAGTAAAATTTATATAACTTTTAATTTATTTTGCCAGTAGTTAATTTTCATGAGGTATTTTAGGTAAGAAGCAATTGTATACTACATAAAATTTTTTTAAAACTATTAAATTGCTTCTTACCTAAAATATCTCATTAAAATTAACTACTAATAAAATAAATTAAAAGTTATACAAAATTAATTATAAAAACAAATCCATTCGAGATTTTATTAATATAAAATGAATAGATGAATAATTGTAACAGTGTATTTTAAAAATAATTAATTTTCATGTCGTATTTGAGGAAATTACCACTTGTATATTTTTAACACCATCTTTTGAATTTTCCCTTCTTTTTTGCCATTTTTCAAATGTCGTGTAATCTGTTTGAATCTCGACGACAAATGGAATGGCCACGGAGAGCTTTAGTAAAGTATACGTCAATTTGCTTATTAAATCGATTAGGTTTCGTGGTCCGATTGACGAAATAAATTGATTAATCTTTAAGTAAGGTATTGGTTGAGATAAAAAAGGTCGTGGATTCGAATCCCGCTCATGGCACTGACCTTTTATCTCAACCAATACCTTATTTAAAGTTTAATGTTATGTTATATCTTGAAAATCCGCAGACCTGATTTTTATTTTACCTTAAAACATCATTTTTTGTACGTCCACAAAACCTGCTTGCTGTCCGGAAGATTAACCACAATTATAACCACTGAGGTTATTAACTCGTACCTTTCCTGGTTCCTTAGGCGAAAAATATGGCCTTTCACACCTACCACTAAGAGAAAACATCGACGGTTGGTTTAAAAATCAATTTAATTGTTTCGTGCTGGATCCATTTACCAACATTCTTCAGAAAGTTCGATTTTGTTTAGCTTTTTATAGATAATTTTGAATTTTATCATTATTTTTGTATATTTGTAAAACAGTTGGGTATATATATGCAATTATTTTTTGATGATAGATTGTACGAGCTCCGATAGAAGGTTGTAAACCATGTCGTAAATGCTTTGGATACAAATGAGACCCATTACTATAAACAAAATTTTGTAAATAATAAAGTATTTTCTATTATATTTTATTAAATTCACTAGTTTTCGTGGTAAGCTTGACCAATTAATATCTTTCAATAAATTAAGGTTTTTAGTTGAGATAAAAAGTCAGTGTCACGAGCGGGATTCGAACCCACAGCCTTCGGCTAGATACGCCGCTACTCTACCACTTGAGCTATCGTGACTTCGATCCACTCGGACACTAACTTCCCATCTTAACCCCATCATTTTTATTTTCTTTCCTTTTTGCCATTTTTCAAGTCAAATTTTCAAGGAAAAGGAAAGAAAATTCAAAAGGTGCGGTTGAGATGGGAAGTTAGTGTTCGAGTGGGTCGAAGTCACGATAGCTCAAGTGGTAGATTAGCGGCGCATCTAGCCGAAAGTCGTGGGTTCGAATCCCGCTCGTGACACTGACTTTTTTAATCTCATATAAAAACCTTAATTTATTGAATTGTATTACATTAACAGACATGTTCTACTGTTCTTTGTTTATTTTTCTACTTCCTATCTTGACTTCGTAGCAAAGAAACGATAGAAGGAAACAGAGTCAGACTTTGCAGAATTTACCCTTAAAAAAAAGAAAATAATCCGAAACGCTTGTTTGATACTTTGCACTGGATGCTGTTTCTGAAATCAGACTTCAAAAATTTAGAATAGTTCTGGGAAAAACCAACCCTACATTATTCAAATTCAAGATCAAAATCCTATACTTTCTTAATCTCAATTTAATCTGCATATATTTACGATTAATTTGACATCAACAGTTTTAAAATCAGAGCACTGCGATTGAACAAAAAAATATAAATCCGAAAAACCGTGAAGTCGGAGAAAGGAGAAGAAATTGTAGTGAAGATTTTTTTACATAAAAACAAACATTTCAAGCAACATTATTTTTTTATTTTTTTAATAGTATATTTAAGTGCTCTTCAATGCGTTTCTTGATACAAAAGATCTAGATCCTTCTGTTTTTCATAAACATCCTCCAGTTTCCTCTTTGTATGACTTTTCGCCGTTTCATACTTTGCCTGTGATTTCTTCCATTTGCTTATCATATTCTTCCTTTCTTCCAATAACTGCCTGTTTTATTGCAAACGCGCAAATTGACCTGGTGTTTAACCCATTTTATAAAGTGTACACACTTAGAAATGAGGAGCTGAGCCCGCCCCCGAGGGGGGGGACTAACCTCGCCTTCTTTACAGGAGACGGGAAGCAAGGTCTTGTCAAAACCCGAATTCTACCTATGTACATAAAAGGGAAAATCCTTAGCGTGGGGTACGAGAGAGAGAAAAGATTATCTCTCTTTCTGTCCTCGGTGTGTCCCTGTTTCGCTATTACCGGAAAAAACACAACTCTCCACCCTTGATTTTGGGACTAAATCGCTATCTCCCACTCCTGGTAGTTCATTTTCCATCGGATGAGCCGGCGAATTGCATTATCAATTCACTTAAACTTCCAAGATTTTTTAAAATCGAATTTAGCTTATTTTATCGTGGCGTTTGGTTTTTTAATTTAGAATATAAAGTTACATTTTTAAATACAATCTATGTTTTTATACCCTTCAAACATAGAAAATACGCCTTGTTATAGCGATTTCGCCCTTTTCTTCAGTACCTTTTTGCTTGCTTAAATACCAGGGAAGAAGCGGCATTCTCCAAGACCTTTTGACCCTGATCTTTCGACACTAGAGGGAAGAATTGAGTTTAGCAAATCCCCACTTGGCCTACACCGCCTTTTATGTTTTGCCTGTGATTTCTTCTGTTCATCAGACCGTTTCTTTCTTCCAATATTCAATACCCCTCTTACACACATTCCTTTTTTTTTGTACGAGGCGACCGCCTTTTGCTCACGAATAATCTGGATCTCGGTGTGGTCTTGATAAAAAAAATCAATTTTCACTGCCAAACTTTCGAAATATTTTAATCTGTAGACATATTGAAGGTTGTTTTACCCTGATGACATTCAAATTGGTCGAAATCTAGGCAGTAACAATTGAATGTGTGTTTTTTTAATCAAAACCGTACCAAAATCAAGATTTGTGAGTAAAAAAGTGGTAAATATTTCTTGTTTAGGATGAGGCGACCGCTTTTTGCACCCCATAGTTCATAATGGCTTCATGGTTCATTTTTTTCCATTTAAATAATTTCTACGATGCATTCTGCATACATCATCCACATCCTCCTGCTCCTCATAAACATCCCCTAGTTTCCTCTTTGCATGACTAATTGCCTTTCATACTTTGTCATTTCTACCATCTGTTTGTCAGATTTTTTGTTTTTTCCAATAGCCGTTTGGAAGTTTTGAAAGATCCGACAGTGAAAATAATCAAATTGTTTTTATCTGAGTGTTTTTGCGATGGTCGTTAGAGGCTATCATGTGAGAGGTCACTGCAGGAAAAAAGGGTTAAGCTTATTTTAATTCTCAAAGCGAGATTCATCCTATTCTAGGCTTTTTATAATTTCTATTTAAATTTAATCGTCAGAAAAGGAAAAAGAGATATTCATTAACTAGTTGGGAGTTTATACGATAAGCTAAATGTTTCTAAATTTGGATGGCAATAAGCGTATTATATTCTATTTAACTCCTGTTTTCCATGTACATACTTAATGTGCATTTAAATCATTCCTTATATTTAGCAAATGTTTGGCAAAGAAATGCCGGTAAAGTGAAATTTCATGTTTCTTCTTTCGCTAAACGCCGTAGAAAAACTTACAAGGCAAAGCTATAGCAAGACTAACCCAACAGATAAAAACGAAGAATGAAATCAAATCACAGGGATAATAAAAAAAACGAATTTTCCAAGAGAAGGCGAATCATCTATGTTTGCAATCTTTAACTCATTTTTTCTTGATTCAATTTTCTCAAAGTATTCAAGTTAAAGTCACAACTTTGAAGTGGTAAATCACCCCTTTTTGTCTCTCAAACTATATTGTATTTGTAAGAAAAATGACCTTGATTTCATTTAAAATTATCGTTTGATGTAAAACTTATGATTTACTTTAGTTTCTTCATTTTTTATTAATCAAAGAACAAATGCGTATTTGAAAAACATTATTTGCACTTGATCAATGAGAAATTATGTACATAATTTGTTGTACTACAGAATTTAGTAGACCTCATTAGTGTTCCAAGTTTGTTTAAATTTGATCTAACTAGATCAACATTATGAACAAACAGCGTAGGCTAAATGTTGATTTTATTTAATGCATAAACTCCCTAAGTACTTAAGTATACCTTAAAAAGTAAAATAACCACACAGAGATAACATAGAAATGTTGGTGAATATCGTTTAAGTTAAATTTTCTGGTCATAAGTCTTCAAATTTCAACGTTTGTGTCATTTAGCCGTTTCACGTGGTTAATAATTATATGCACATCAATTTTTCCTTGTCCAGGCAGACCTATCAAATAAATAGGTTGATCTTAAATATTACAGGTATTTACGATCTTTTTGTTAACCCTGTTAATGTTAAGTCCTGTTAGATCGAGAAAAATGACGAAGACGACGTAGACGTAGACGTAGACTTAATGATGATAGACTTATAAGAATCGATTAGTTGACATTGCTCGATCTAACAGGCCACGATCAGTGTTAGATGTTAGGTCGAAAATGTAGTCACATTGTTATCCGTTAGGGCGTAGGTAACCAACATGGCAGCCGGGAATTGAACAGCTGTTTTTTGTTTATACGTATTTTTATTCTCAAATACGCATTAATTGAATCAGACCAATACATTTATTTTTAAATTTCTTTCCTGTCCTTATACTCTCATTCATACTAGATACATCCCTTATCCTATAAAGTTGTAGGCTGTTAGACGTTATGATACAAGTTAGGTTATGTCGGCACGAATTGAAGCGTGTCATTTGTTAGTAGTTTTCGAGTACATAAATGGCATTTTGAATGAAAGAGTTGATTAATTTTCCTTTTTTTATTAACTTCTGGCATCTTACAATATAACTCTAAAGAACCCCCCCCCCAAAAAAAAAAGCCTTCAAGGACTGTTAAAGCTTTATTTTCGAATCTAGCAATCACCACACGCAGCATTAAGGAAAAATTAGCGTTTAACATGCTAAAATAAGAATGGGGCATTCACGATCTTACTGGACATTTCTTTATTCGAGTTAACACGAGATAACATCTTACAAACATCGTGAATACCCCTAATATGTAATTTGTTACCGGAAAGTGCGCGCCCGCCCGGGGTGCAATAATTCGAGCTCGTTGACTCAAAAATTTGAATTGGAAGAAAATCCTTTACACTCTCAACATTTGTGTATTTCGATGGTTTTTACGAATGAATTTACGTTCCGAAAACATATCCGAATTAATTTTTTTAAAAATTCCAATTGGTTTGCCAACAAATTTTAGAATTATCAAGGCTCTCGAATAGATTAAAACCTGAATGACAGATCGGTCGTGTAGGTTTAGCATACGGAGCGCCGTACTCTAATTTCTAATTAAGAAATATTATCAGTCACTAAAAACTGTTTTTTATTGCAATCAATTAGACAAAATGAAAATACAAATTAATTCAATTTGACACTAATTAATTTTGTGTTAAATAATCAGCATAGCGCCAATTTGAAAGAAAAGAAAAACAACCAGTTCCGTCGTCAAGCTTTCGAGATTATCCTCCTTGTCAAGATATTGAAAATATTATTAATGGTTCACAAAGTTCACAAATATTTCAAATATCTGGGCATCACACTAGATAAAACACTAACATTTAAGAAACACATCAGCTCTACCATCACGAAGGCGACACGAGCTTTGATATGTGCAGAAGAAACTGGGGATGCAGACCGGAAACCCTGTTATGGATGTACACCATGATAGTAAGACCTTTACTTACATACGGAGCTACAGCCTGGGCTGAAAAAGCAGAACAAATAACCAAAAGAAAATAACTCACAAAAATACAGAGACTTGCATGCATCTGCATAACGGAAGCAATGAGAACATGTCCTACAATTAGGAAGGAAAAAATACTAGGATTAATCCCCCTACCTCACATTGTAGTAAGGAACCATCATCAACTTTATCAAAGAGAAACCTCCAACAGGAATAAAACTGAAATGGAGAGATAGCAATAAACTATGGAAAGACCATCCGTCAATCATGGCTCCAAGAGACGACACGAACAGGATGTTTGAATTTAACCAAAAATTCGGAATAAACCTGGGTACCAAAAAAGAATGGGAAAGAGAGGGAAATAACTCCTTTAAAAATGGCACCATCCTTTGGTAAACAAATGGATCTCAAACACAAGAATGTACGGGGGAGGAATATTTGGACCTGGAACCAAATACTCAGAACCCATGGGAAAATACACCAGTATCTTCCAAGCTGAGATTCACACAATTGAAAGATGTACCCAATTCAACCTAAGTAAAGGGTACAAAAACAAGAATATAGCTATCATGTCAGATAGCCAAGCAGCCATCAAAGCACTAAGCTCAAATACCATTAGTTCAAGGATGGTACTGAACTGCAAAACCAAACTAAACATATTAGGTATGCAGAATATATCAGCCTCTGATGGGTCCCAGGACACATGGGAGTAGAAGGCATCGAGAAAGCGGACACCCTTGCAAGGCAAGGGGCTGCTACACCGCTGATAGGACCTCTTTTTATAAACTGAATAAGCTTTGTTTAAAAACAAAACTGCCTTCGTTTATTATTACTTTAGTAATTTAATATGGCCAGATTTTACAGGCAAAATTACGGGTTTAAAAACGGTTTTATTATAAACAATACAATGAAACAAAAGGAGGCCTGTTATTCTTTTAAATTTTTTTGTATTGTATGTCAAAAAGTAGAATTTGAAACTGGAATCTCTAATTAGTGGAGGTTTTTGATTGGTGATCAGTCAAAATGATCGACTTATTGTACAAGTTCTTTTATCCATTGTTTTTTCCATGGACTAACAATGTTGAGTACAGGGTAAAGCATAATTAACACTTTAAAAAGAGAATTTTTTTACCTGTCGATCGTGATTCCGGTCAGAGTGAAGACGCTTGCGGCGACGCTCACGTTGGCCAGGTAGTTGTTGATGGTGCAGTATCGCGTTCCGAAAGTCCAATCACTGAAATCAGTCAGTTTTCGTAAATTAATGATAATGTTAGCGATATGACAATACGCCTACTTGTTCATCATGGAAATAAAATTGAAGATACAGTTGAAGATGGACATGACGAGGTCGGAGAGACTCAGGTTGACGAGGAAGTAATTCGTAACAGTCCTCATTCTTCTGTGCGCTAAAAAACGAAATAATTAATTTCAATTCCTTGACTCGTATGACCTGAAAATTCTTCATGCTTTCCAACTAAACTAAACTTCAAACTAAATGTGGGTTCACCAAGCTTTCGGCATTATAGTGCCATCATCAGAGCCTATTTTATTACAAATTTAAATAAATACACAGTACCATACAATTAACAATTAAGATAATAAAATGATATATACATACTTTCCCAAGGATGAAGAAAACAATTAACATGAAAAAATATTGTACAAGTGTGTTTTTGGTATAGTTACATTTTAAATTCGTTATGCTTTCCAAGGCGCTCTTTGAATCTGAAATAATGCTCTCCGGAGTTAGAGTTTCCTTAAAAGGCTTTGAGGAGAAAAGTTCTTCGGAATAACTTCGCGAATATGTACTAATCAAGGCCGGAAGTTTGAATTATCCGCGAACATTCGAGATATGGTCGTAGATTGCGCGATTGATTTATTTCCCCTGAACCATCTGTAAAACTTAATCTGATTTTTCTTTCTTTTACGGCATATTAAATTACTTAATGGATTAATGGAATTAATTAATGGAACCTCGCCAAAACTGGCTTCTAAAGCTAGAGAGGGTAAAACTCCGGAGAATGATAGTGGGATTTATACAAGTCACTTGCTTTTAAGAAAACACCCACACAACATGTACACACATTCAACCATTACCTCATTTTACATTAAACCTTTACAAGGAGGAAGAAACTGATACCCATATTATAATCGACTGCAAAGCAATTGCTCAACAGAGACATAACCTAGAGAACCAAGATGAGCCGGTAAAAACAAATGGCAGGAATGACAGTCAACATCTTACTTCGTAAAAGGAGAATCGAGTCCTTGAACTAAGAAACCAGGAAAAGTACGATAAACCAAAAGGTTGCAATGCTTAGCGAACACAAGACCACTGCTTCATAGTAACTACATCGTCATCATGATCATCACTGTGGGATATCTCATTCCATGTTTATAGATAGAATTATACAGCGTAACACTTTTTAGATGTCCCGGCTGAATTTGTCTCGAACTAATGACGCTATCAGAAATATAAAAAATACGCGTTTAATATTTTTTAGTCTAGTTTCAATTATTTAACTTTTTTGAGAAAAATTACACAGGGTCAGGCCCAGTTCAACTTCAACATTTCAAATACGACCTTATAACTCCTGACACATAATTTTAAATGATTTTTTACGCTAAAAAAGAATGGTGCTAACGGATGTGAAATTGGTCAGAACATGACAAAGTCATTTGGTGCGCTATTTATTAATCACGTTTCAGTTCAAACTGCCAAAAAAAATTGCACAGGGTACCTCGGCCACCAGTTCAATTTCAAAATTTCAAATACGACCCTACACATCCTGGCACATAATTTTAAATGATTTTTTACGATAAAAAACAAAGGTGCTATAGAATTTGAAATTGGTCAAAAAATGAAAAAGTTATGGCAAAATGGCATTTGGTGTGCTATTTATTAATCACATTTCAGTTCAGACTGCCAAAAAAAAAAAATTGCACAGGGTACTTCGGCCCCCAGTTCAATTTCAAAATTTCAAATACGACCCTACACATCCTGGCCAATAATTTTAAATGATTTTTTACGATAAAAAACAATGGTGCTATAGGATTTAAAATTGGTCAAAAAATGAAAAAGTTATGGCAAAATGGCATTTGGTGTGCTATTTATTAATCACATTTCAGTTCAGACTGCCAAAAAAAAAAGTGCACAGGGTACCTCGGCCCCCAGTTCAATATCAAAATTTCAAATACGACCCTACACATCCTGGCACATAATTTTAAATGATTTTTTACGATAAAAAACAAAGTTGCTATTGGATTTGAAACGGGTCAAAAAATGACAAAGTTATGGCAAAATTTCATTTAGTTTGCTGTTTATTAATCACATCACCCTTAACCTCCTTAGATATTTCATATTTCAAAAGTAATTATTTATTAACTTATTAATTATAGTTTGATCACAAGAATTTCTTGGGTAATATAATAGTGTGTTGTTAAAAATTAATTCCTCTGACTTTTCAATAATACCGACACGTGCATTAAAATCACCCACAACAATAAGGACTAAGTTCTGACCACATTTTTCTTTTATATGATTTAAATGCTCAGACAGTCCATGAATACAATCATCAATATTAGAGGACGGGTTCCAGTAAGATGAAACTATAACATAAACTAAATCAGCTATTTTTATTCCAATCGATACCCACAAATATGTTTTTGCAATAATTAATACATTCTTTTCATATAGTTCCATAACGAAAATTGCAATTCCCTCACTTGGTCTGCCAAAGGATTTTGTTTTACATGCTTCGCTATATACACAAAAATACTGACCCAAAAAAGTCGGGCAATTCGTCATTTTTAACAACCAGGTTTCTACCATACAAAATATATCAATTTTTCCAAACGTATCAAGTGCTCGCTCATTAAAATCTTGAGTTTGGTCTTGAATCTCACTACCAAAATTTTGATTAGGGTCATAAACTGGCTAAGTAAAGTGTTAGGTTCAGATAAAAAATCCATTCTGAAGAGATCGTTTGAATCTGTTTTGTCCGTATCGAACTTCTCATCACCTCGTAAAGAATACTGAAATGGTAACTTGCTTGTTCATTTACATGGTATATTGGCTCGTTTGGCTACGAACCTTCCCTTTTTTTCGTGATGTAAGTGTGGTGGCGAAGCACAAAAGGGACATTATAGAGCGTTGGGAGAGTAATCTCTATTCAATTAACATTGACCGATGCATTGGCTCCGTTTTCAACCCCTTCTTCAGGCGAATTTCCTCTCTTTATTTATGCGAAAATTATTTAATTCAAAATGTTTCCATGGCCAAGCAGAGGATTATAGTGCAACTAAGGCTATCGGGTACCGCAGCAATTAGACTGTTTTATAATGGCATTACATACTCCATTGACTGCACACAATTATGCACAATCTGCAATTTCAAGGTCAACGAAACTTTGGCACACATAATATGGGAGTGCCCAATATATTCGTCGTTAAGAAAAAAATATTTACAGAATTATTTAAAGAATGCACCACAACTGTACAATAGTGACGAAAAATTAATATGGTTACTAAATGGAAGCTGGGATAAAGAAAAAATAAATGATTTATTTTATTTTATATTGGGTACATTGAAGTTGAGAGCGTTTGTGTTAGATGAATGATGCAGTCTGCCAAAGGTTCTTTATATGTCCATAATATGTTCTATGTTATTGTTAAGTATCTATATCAATATATAATTGTATAATTATAATAAATAAATAATAATAATTAATTATTTTTTAAATTAAAAATTATGTATATTGTGTTGCACTGTACATATGGTATTCTACTGAACTTATTTTTGTCATGGATAAAGTATTGTAATTATGTAAAAATATGTGAGAAAACAAAATGTTCATCCCTTGTATATGCATATATATAATGCTAAAATACAATAAAATATTCTAATTCTAATTCTATTTCAAAAGTAAAATTTGTCAATAATATATTTCAGTATTACATTAAAATATGTATTGCCGGTTAAATCATTTCGGAGTGAAATAACCAAGTTGGACAAGATATGAATAGACTCTATTTGATAAACTTCCCTTCAAATCTTCTCAACTTGCCAACAAAATTCAATAAAAGTCGATACGAGGAAAGTTGTGTCGTAAACACATTACCAAAGTTGGGTTAAAAGGGTTCGACTGTTTGGTACTTTATGAAGTCCCGGTAATAACAAAATATTTAAATACATAACCTTGCAATAAGCGCAATACAAGAAGAGATATCGGGTTTAACTTCCTTAAAAACAAATCGAATCTTATGTAACCTTGAAATGCATACCCAATAATGGAAAAACTTATCAAAACATTATTAAAGTGTTACAATTAATTAAGGTTTTTTGGTTGAGATAAAAAAGCCAATGGCACGAGCGGGATTCGAACCCACGATTTTCGGCTAGATACGCCGCTGCTCTACCACTTGAGCTATCGTGACCTCGATCCACTCGGACACTAACTTTTCATCTCAACCCCACCTTTTGAATTTTCCCTCCTTTTTGCCATTTTTCAAATGTCGTGTAATCGGATTGGATTCTCGACGACAAATGAAATGGCCACGGAGAGCTTTAGTGAACTTCATTATAAATGAAAGTATACTTCATTTTAAATATTTAAATTCACTAATTTCGTGGTCCGCTTGACCAATTAATATATTACAATTAATTAAGGTTTTTTGGTTGAGATAAAAAAGTCAATGGCATGAGCGGGATTCGAACAAAGCAAAAAGGAGGGAAAATTAAAAGGTGTGGTTGAGATGGGAAGTTAGTGTCCGAGTGGATCGAGGACACGATAGCTCAAGTGGTAGAGCAGCGGCGTATCTAGCCGAAGATCGTGGGTTCAAATCACGCTCGTGCCATTGACTTTTTTATCTCAACCAAAAACCTTAATCAATTGTAATATATTAATTGGTCAAGCGGACCACGAAATTAGGGAATTATTAAAGTGTTTTTCCTAAGATTTTTTTAAATTAAAAAATAAAATTACAAATGTTATGCCGGCTTTCGAACCCAGAATCGCTAGCCTGGAAAATTCTCGTCTTACGCACTAATTATAATATCAAAGTTCCGATATGTTAACGTGATTGGACCTCATTAATATTTATGTATAGATGAATGGCGTTTGACTTCAAATGATGCAATTGGCATTTCAAACATGACAAACTATGAGATTATACAGAATAGCATAATCAATATGTCGGTGCGACATGGTCGCTGAATTAATATTACGAATTACACGCCAGGTTGATCGTTTCATACCAACAGTCATCATCACAAAGAAGAAGGTGATATATTTATCGAAAGCTTGACGAAAGTGAATGTTTTACTTTCAAATCAAAAAGTCCTGATTTTTGTACAGGGTGCCCTTTTTAGATGGCCCGGTGGAATTTTTCTTGCACCAATGACGCT